CCACTTTCGCTGGGCCTCGCCTCCTTTTCCTTGCACTCGTTTGTGGCGGCTCAGATTCTGCCTCGGATTGCGTATCCAGTTTTGGTTCCTCTTCCTCTTCATGCTTCAGCCCTGCATCAAACTTTGTGTTCACCGGCCCAGACTCCGGCCCTGCTTCGACCTGCGATCCCGGGGCCGGTTCTTGCTTGCTGTCGACCTCCATCTGCATTCTTTCACTTTGCTCATCTGCACCGTCGTGCTCCATCACTAATCCGTCATCGCCGTCGTCGTCCTCATCAACAGCAGGGAAGAAGCTCGAAGTGTGATGGGCCCGGGGTTCTTCTTCCTCCTCTTCTTCTACATACCCCTCTGGAAGAAATCCTCCCGCCATCTCTTCATCCTCAGCCTGTGGTTGCTTCTTGGTCTGGACCGAGTCTCTAGCATGCCCAAACACTGATATTTCATCAGTAATCTCACCATATTCTTGTCGAATGCGTTCTGCAATGCGCATGCCCATGAGGAAGCGGCGCCATTGAGCTAACGCCTTCTTTCGTCGCTTCTCATCTTCTTTTCGTGCACGTTCTGCCTCATCCTTCTCGAGCTCTACCATGACCATGTCGTGGTTCTCTTCAGCAATCACAACTCCCTGGATAACAGGTACAGCCATTCGGTGACCAAATTCAAAGTCCACAACTGCTTCCGCATAGTCGATTTGTAACTTTTTACAAACACGCATAGCCCCTCGGAAGGGTACATGCACAGCACCCTCAGGGCACATATGCTCAGCAAACAAATCGATATTCCTGCGGTTCGGTTAGTGGATTCGAGTTTGAAAAAGGAATCGCCCACATACCCGTATTCGTTCTTGGGGATAACGCCGTCCTTGATCGGTGGTGGAATGATCCAATCGGTTTGTTCCCAGCTGTAGAGCCCTTGCAGGACCTTTTGCCCCGTGGCAGCTTCTGCTTCCATAATTTCTCGCCGGCGATTTATCGTAGCCGCGCGGTAGGGTACCTTCTTCAATGGCTGCTCTCCTGCCAGTGGTGCGCGTCCTTGTTTATGCCAGGTCTCGGCACTCTTGACGTTCAGAACATCGCTGCGAAGGAACACATCCTCTTCCTCGACCTTGCCACCTTTGCCCTTGTTTTTGAACACTTTGACACCCTTGGCTCCAGGCCTGAGTGCCTCTTCACGCTTCAAGTGTCGCTCGAGGACAAACTCCTTGGACTGCTTGTAGTATTGTAATGTCTCCTGGCCCTCCTTGACCTCCTTCTTTTCGGGCTTGGCAGGCTTCAGATCTGTAGCTTCTTCCATCTCATCGACTTCGGTCACAGGGTGATCCTTGCTGCCTCTCAAATATCCAGATATTGCGGTTTTGAACCAGTCAAACTGGTCATATCTCTTAACCTTCCCATGACGGTTATAGACGGGGACTTTCTCTGGTGTCATCCTTAGTCCTTTGGTACGGCCAGGAAGCATATTCCGTTTCAAATATCTGACTGTGACATCTTTGCCGGTTCCATCTTGTGAATGAGCCACAATGTATGCCATGATTTGACGTGCTTTGTCGGCCTTGGCTCCACGGGGTTCCAACGATTCGATGAGATCTCGGTTTGTTCCAACTACGTTTTTGACAATAGCATCAATGGGCAAGTATTTGTTAGTGACTGGTGATAGGACTTCTGTCCAATAGTGCGGGAACTCCATGTCGGCGTCATATTTTTTGGTTGGTGTCTTGGCCGTTGTCTTCCGTGGCGTCACATCCATCTCAACGACAGATTCATCATCAGTGTCCTTGTACTCAAGCTCCAGATCATCTGGGTCGCTTTCAGCCTCAGTTTTAGGTCTTGTTTTCCGAGTCGAATTTCTCGTGGGCTCCTTTGTTTTCTTCGTTGACTTCTTGTTTGCGGTGGCCGCGCTCTTTGTCGCTGTTTTCGCCTTCTTCTCAGGCGTCTCGTTTCTCTGATCCTCGCTTCCACTCTTTTCAGGCTCGGCCTCCTCAAGTTTATTCCATCCAAAGCCTAGACAAGGCAAGTTTGCAACCATTCGTGCTTCGAGGCCCAGTCCACGAAGCAAAGCTGTAAATAACTGGGCACCTACATCTCTGCTCCCCTCACATACTCGCGCATGATGTCTGAAATCCTCCAGATTTGAGATCTTCTCACCAAATTGCTCTGGATCATGAGGTTCGGCTTTTTGCGCTTTCGTAAGACGGTCTAATCGCTCAAGAGACATATATCCCCATTTCCTCAGCCCTGGCGCTGTGACTCGAAAACGCTGTTTCCACCAAGCTGACAACGTTTGCATAAGTCGAAATAGGGGGTCTCCATGACTCATATCAACAGCGCCTTCTTCCAGTCTCTCAGCCTCTGCACCCCAGTCGCGCGACTTTCGATCTTGGGCCTTTTTGCCTTTGCCTTTCAGTTTTGCGTTTTCCTTCACTGGCTTCTTAGGTGTCGGCTTCTTTTCTAGACCACTGTTGCGCCTCCATCGATCCACCTCATCCCAGAGTCTTGGAGGAAGATGAGAGATCATGGTCGCCTGGACTTCGGGATCGCAAAGCCATGCATTTCGGATAGCATTGTGCCACAAAAGTAACATGACGTGAACGCAATGTGTGGCATGCCGGACTTTCCTCTCACGTTTTGAGGGCCCTTTTCTGTCAAATGTATTTGTGAGCGAGATTCTCGTGTCCCTTGTGAGTGTCAATTCCAAGTCCCCGGATGTTACCGGGGCGTCCGGTAGTGGTGCGACTGGTGCTTGGACATCCTCAAACTCAATATCATCATCATCCTCAGAGTCAACTTCATTGGCTTTCGGTTGATTTGGTGGCACAACATCCTCGAATTCATCTTCTGACAACGATGTCAAAGAGCTTTCATCATCGTCATCGTCTCCAAAGCCGTGGAGAATCGAGTTTGAGTTAGGTGTCGCAGATGCGTCCAAATCATCGTACAGTGTTGCTTTGCGCCGTGATGAATCGGGCTTCTCTTTGACTGCTTTTGATGATCTGCCTTCTCCAGGTGGTGGCGACTCACGCAAGCGTTTGCGTGGCACTAGAGGAGGCATCTTGGTATCGTAAACAAGATTGTCGCATCCTGCGAAGTAGGATGAATTAAAGCTTGATGAACGGCTTAGACTGGAGCGTGGTGGGTACTTCGTCATAGAAGACGGGAGCACGGGAGGGAGACGCGCGATCACGTGATTCGATTATGGAGGTAGCAACATGAACTTGGGCTTGAAGTCAATCGCAATGGTAAGCAAAATGTTAATTTGTTAAAAATCAAGTAATTCAATTAAGAGTTTATGCTCATCAACTAGAGTCTGCTGTGTTATTTTATTTATTTTACTTGAAGTCTTGGGATGTAGATTTACAAATCAACGTGATAATAGGCTTGAGGCATGATAGGCAAGACAATATTCTTCTATTGAAACACAGATGAAGCAATGGAAACCTCAAATATGCTAGGACACTATTTTCTCAGTAAACAAAAATATTGATATCATTCCTCCTGGTATCAAAATTGCCCAACGCCAGGCCATGCATCTCTATAGGGTAGTCTATCCATAAAACAGCGCTCACGCCTCAATCAGGTCTGGGGTAGCTGGTCCAACGCCACGCAACAAAACCACAGTATTTCCACTCTGCAACGCCGTTCCAACCTTTTCGTTATACTCCAAAATTCTGCCTCCTTCAACGTGGAAGACTCGAAGCTTGTCCTTTTCATCCGAGCTTTGGTTATTGATGTTTTGTACCTGCAGACTCCTTGCTGCAGCATCCAGAACTCGGCCTACAACCCAATCCTTGTTGTAGAAGAACTCCCCCTTGGGAAACTTGGCTTTTGCTGTTTCTGCCTCGGCCTCCACATAAATGTACACTCTCTTCTCAACAGGTGTCTTGTCATCGCCTTTGGCTGTCTTCTTCAGGTTGTTCACAGCAACGATACGTGCCGATGCAGAGCTTGGCTTTGGTTTGGGCAAAGCTCTGCCAGCCTGCTCTTTCTTTGCTGAACCCCATGCGCGCAGTTTGTCGAATGCCGTCTTTGTCTTCTGACCAACATCGAATTGCATAGGCCGAGCCCCTATTGGTACCAAGTTACTGCAATTGTGGTCCTCCTTTAGACGATGCTTCAGGCAGTAATCTCGGTTACACGTTTGACAGTGTACACCGGGCGTCAAAGATGTACCAATTGTGGTCTTGCATTCGGGGGATGCGCAAGGCTTCTGGGACACCTTGTCCCTTAGAATCTTTCCTTGCCCAATGCTTGGATGCGCAAGCTCTCTCTGGCGCTTTCGCTCCGCCCACGCACCGGGATTTGTACATTTATGTGACCCTTCGCTTCGGTGATCGAGACAAAACGTCTTTCGGCATGACTGACAGAAGAAAGGGAGAAAGTCGAGTTGGTTGCAGTAGTCATATTCGCAGTGCTTGCCGATCAGCGCGGCTTCGTTTTTGTCGTGCATTTCGACGTAGCTGGTATCTTGAGCTTCTTGTGTGTTTGATGACGCCATGGTGAAGATGTTTCGTATTTAAAAATGTTAAAGAGGCGGTGTTACCCGTAGGCAGAGCTGTTGTCGCAAGTGCTCGTGTGAAGATGACAGATCCAAAAGGCGGCGGCTAGGAAACGTCTGGAAGGGTCCGCGTATGACCAAGCGAACGAGGGTGCCACAAGCTTTGCCACGTAAAAAGACAAAATAAATGAGACGCGATTGCAGAGAGAAGAACAAGTAGACAAGGCAAGGATCCGTCGGGCTTTTGTGAATCATGCACATAAATCACGAGCAAGAATCACAGGCTTGTTAATAACTTATAAGCACCCCCAGCGCACAGCCACTTCCAAGGACCAGGTTGATCGCGGGGTCTCCCCACCACGGAGTTCATTGTTGCATAATTGGATTGGTATAAGTCAGTGACCGACTCTGTCGCAAACAATATTCCTATACATTGATCGAACATTAAAACATGAGTTGAGCGCCTTCCACCTGCCAGAACGCCAAGATTGTGGTTCAAAGCATTGGATTTACAGTTCCTTCTCCTTTGGCCTCTTGGCCAGCATATCCTCGCGACCCGTCGTGGGCGCATTGCCGACTGCGGCCTTACCTCCGAATGTCTCGAATCCTTTGTGGAATGCCCACTCGACAGCGTTCTCGACAGGCTCGTCGAACATAGCTGGGAGGAAGGGAACCACTGCGAGGCCCAGACCAATTGGAGCCCAAGTCCTGATGACCTGGTTCTCCATGTTCTTCATGGCGCGGCCAGAATACCTCACAACACTATGAATAGTGAAAGCAGGCAGTCCCATACTGGCGACACTCTGGAAGATTGCGCGCTGGACCATGACAGTGCGATAGTCTTCAAGCGGTGGCACCGTACCCGGCTCGATCAGGCGTGTCTCGGTGGCAGGAAGGCCAGTAACCTTCTCTTGTCGAGGAGAGAGTTGCACTTTGGGGTTCAACACACGCTGATTGTGCCAGTATGCTTTGTAACCTTCATACGAGACATCGCCAATAAGATACAGCCAAGATACACCGTAGGCGGCGCGAACGAGATTCGGGTGAGCTACGGGACGGAACGACTCTCCAATGTCCGAAGTGTAGGCGACATATCGATGCGCAGATAAAAGAATTGTCCTAATTCGCGTGGCATAGGCAGCATATCGAAAATTGGTGTCGGTTGAGTCGGGGCCACTATATTCGATTAGCTGGCGTTACACATTTTCAAAGACACACATACTAGCCATCGGTTATGTCGACGAAGACATTTCCGTCTCTTCCTGTCTTGTTGACGGCTTTCTGAACACTCTCTGGTAGCTGTTCCTTTGAGGGAAGCTTCTCAACAATAGTGTCTTTGATCTGAGTTGCTTCGTTCTTCTTCTCCTCCGGCTTGGGGTCTTTAGATTTACCCCACCAAGACATTTCAAGAATTGAACAGAGAATGAAAGGCAAATTAGTTAGGTTGTTTGGAGAAAAGAAAGATGCGATAGCAAGCTTTCAGAGCAGTAGAAGCTTCCATTTTGATGGCCCGCCGCTACCCTACCTTTACCCACTGAGATGGCTGCAGGCTTCTGCAAGAAAGTTGATAACCCTGGGTCAGTGACGTTGCTTCCGTAGATCCGATTGATCCCGATCAACGATATGATCCGGAGAATAACCGCACACGCTGGGGCAGCTCATCCACTTTAGGCCTGTAATTCCAGGCACAAGCTCCAAGTTGAATTTGAGAGCTCGGCAAACTATCTCAACCGCGACATTCGATCATCCACCCATTGCCCTTCGTCATCACCCAATTCGTCCTTTTCGGTCTTGTCTAATTATTCACAATGGCTGGTATCGCTTATTACACCATTGCTGGCAAGCAGGTCGCCGGTCACCACGTTCGTTCAACCTCAATTGCAGTCGACGCAGACTAGAGATCTCTAAAACTAACATGAATAACAGCTCGCCATCGCCTGGTTGGGAACTCTCGTCGTCGGTACCAAGCTGGCCCTCTCTGGCGGCTCTTCCAAGCCCACTGCTACCGCTACTCCTCCCATCAACGCCTCCAGCTCCGACGAGGCCGACTTCATCAAGTGCGCGAATTCACCCGACGATGCGGAGCTTTCATGGACTAACCCATTACCAGGAACTTCCTTGATCAGCAGGACAAGAAGAACTAGACGGTTGAATCGAGGACGATGGTTGTATGGTTGTTTGGATGCGGTGTACGTTTATAAGTCATGCAGACATGAGCTGTCCATCGAGCCGGACAGCCGAATTCAGATACCAACAAAAGCCGGTTTCGCCAATTGTGGCATAACGAAGTACTATCCACCATGTGATGCATCCGAGAATACCTTGCCGGTTTAAAGTGCGACTGTGATTGATGCGGAGGTGGCTGAACTCGATAAAGAACTCTGATCCAGAAAATGCCCTCCATATTTCTATGAACTGAGAATTCCTGGGGTTGCATAGCTGTCATGATATGAAGGAATGCTTACTGTCATATTGCCACGATTATTCGCAGCGAGTGCGATCCTGTTACTTGGAGACTTTGGCCTCACCTTTCACTTTCATCTACACCTGACGCACTGAACCTGGGTATCTATGGAATACCAACGGGAGGCTTAAACCAGTTCGAACTGATTCTCTTGGCAAGAGCATTGCGTTTCTCATTCAGCGCCCTATTGTCTATCATGTTCGTGTGCCGTATTTTAACCTGGGCCTCATCGATTGGTGCCAATCAACTGGATCTGTTGAGACTTCAGCATCGCTACATGAATGCTATTGGACCCGTATGACGACTTGGACATGAAAATCGTGTTGATACTATTTGGTGAACTGAATGGCAGACGGAAACCTAGCTGATTCTCTCCTATGAATCACATGTGGATTTAGACCTGAAAAAGAATATCCAGTTCGCCTTAGATTGATGATGTGAGTTTCTTTCCCTTTATTCGCCCTTTCCATAAATGGCAATGTCCTCGAAGCAAGGATATATGTAATAAAGCGTAAGTGTAAGACAATCTTATCGCTGTGTTCACAACCTTGCGCTACATGTGGTCATCATTAAATCTATATAATCTCTATTACGCACTTATGTGCGGTTCTCCTTTTGGTAAATACAACAACGCTAAGATACAAAGTAAAATGAGCAGTATCCAATTAGTTCGATACATACTCCAAAGATGCTTGTCCTGTTCGACCGAGCTGCCACATTCTCAAGGCAGACATCACCACCATTAGAGACCACCGATCTCCAAAGTTCTGCTGCATTGCTTTGTCAGAGAACTCAATCTTGCATGTCTTCCATGCTGCCTCCTTCCACGAGGCCATGGCGAGGTATTCCAATGGCGCCTTCATATCTCCAGTTCGGTAAAGCTTGAATTCGTGGCAGTATTTAGGATCCTTGGCCGCTTGGAGCGGTGTCATGGACCACTCGAATTCTTCCCGAACAAAGCTGCAGTCTTGGACTGTCTCTGCTTGCTTTGTTTCTATTGCCCAACGGAACACCACGCACTGCTCGGTTTCATCGTATAGTGCCTGTACGATTTCAGTGGCAACCCTAGTATCGATGTCTGACCCAGGGGCTGCGGATACATTGACAATACTCTCTACAACTCCTGGGTCAGATAACCCATCCCGCAGCGTCTCGCCAGCCGCTGCTAGTATTTCGTCCTTTCCGGTTGGTCCGTTGTGGAGGAGAAGACAAGGCGAACCTGAGTTTCGGCCAAAAAGTCCAGAGTGTTCTGATACAGCAAACATCTTTGAGCAGCCATCATTGCCGAGAAAGAAAGTTCGCAGTTTGTTCCATTGCCAAGATATCTTCAAGGTTTTTGGTATTTGACGATATGGTGTATCTACACACTCGCTGACCAGGGCTGTACTGGATGGAGTGAGGGAGTTGAAGAGGGCAATTCTGGTGGAGGAAGATGTCGTCGAAGCAGCCGTTGAAGATCTAGCGGTTCCTGGAACTCTATAATGTGGCATGGAGCCATCGTGGTCTCCCAATGTGCTGGCCATGATGGAGGATTCTTCTGGTTGCTCTGGAACAAGTCGACGACAAGGGTAGGGGAATGGTGTATAGTGGGTAGCGGTGGCAATGTTTGCGTGTTGACGACTCCCTACAGTACATATAAGTCGTTATCTCAATCAATGTCTGGCATGTTAAAAAGCAAGAAAGGGGACTGAAACGGCTGGAAAGGAACAGAAATATCACACAGTCAGCCAGTCAGGTACATATCGACTTATTAGTGTATCGGCAGATCGCCATGCAGACGAAACTAGTGCGCACATGTTCAAAGTTCTCGAACTCTCAGCCAAGTGGCGACATGGTTCATGCTCAGAGCGGGTATACCTGATCAGGAAGTTGACGGACATATCGAGAGCCGCTAGTCATGTAATCAAGTCTCTAGTTTGCTTTATCACAGTCTGACGAGTTCTTCTGGGGATAGCTTAAACGAGTCTTTATGATAGTCTGAGGTTAATGCTTGTAAGGAGTAGGCGAACGAGGAAACTATTAGAGCAACATCTCTGTTTTTCTTCATCCTGATGATCCGTTATCCGTTGCACTGCCTAATAAAGAGTCAGTGCGAGACCGGCCCGGAGGTTGTGTTCCTGTCAATCCCGTTTCTACCCACTCTCAACAGTTGGCCGAGTTATCCAACTGACACATGAGCTCCTGATTTATACCAAATTGGCATGAATCTCTGGTGACAGCTCACAAGGAGTTTGGATATGACTGTAACCATACGCCTTGGCGAATCGTCGTAGCGAGGAGTTTATCTTCTCATGAGGACCGATCATGACATGCATGCGGTTTTCTAATTAGGTAACATGGAAATTTGTGCCGAAACGGAGGAAACCCCATGTCCAATTATCCTGGCATGCTTAGGTATGGCCATGACCCTTGTGGACATCCATGCTTCTATCAAAGTTGCTGAAACAATCAGGACTAGCGATTCAGTCTAGTACGTTATCGAGGAGGCATATATCGAGGTCATTAAAGAGCATTCAATATCATGAATATTCCCGAGACAAGAATACAAGAGCACAGGCAAAGGTGATATAAAGACCAAAACAAAGGTCGTGGCTCAATTACAAGGGTATTGTGATCTCAATAATGCCATGATCATGAGTATTTTTGATATCGAATACGATTACCTAATCCTCCGTTTGACGCACCTGCCCTCTAATTCATTGACATGGCATCACGTGACGTCCATACAGAGCTTTCTCCTCCCCCGCCATCGACATTCTCTCGCCAAACTGCCATCAAACTATCTCCCTAATCGAAACATCCCACCTCCCCCAAGCGCACGTCCTTCGGTTACAACGATAGCCTCACCATCTCCAATTCAATACCCCCAAAATCGAGAACCCACACCTTAAGGAGATAGCCGTCCTGGGCATGTCGGCTGCTACCACCGACCCGGCCCTTGTCGCCGCTCCCGCCCCGGACCTCTCTCCTGTTGATGCCGTCGCTCAGGTAGGCCACGATGTCACCTCCGTTGACCATGTCGGCGATCACGTCGGCGCATCGCCAAAGGAGAGACATTCCCTGACACTCGACCAACGCCGTGCTCTGCGTCGATGGGCTAATAGCCAGCCTATCCGTCCCTCGCACAAGGCTTGTATCGAATGGTTCTTTTCCCAGTATGGCCAGCAGATAAGCCAGTCTACTGTGTCACACTCACTGTCACCCAAGTACTCGCGTCTAGATAGTGACAATCCTCAACTTTCGGGTTCCCGTCTGCGCTACGGAAACTGGCCTGATGTTGAGAAGCTCGTCCTTATATGGTATCAACAGGTCCAAGCATCTGGTCGCCAACCCACCAATGAAGAACTTGGTGACAAGGCAAAATCAATATTCGGACAGTTGCCTCGATATAAGGATGAAAACCCTCCCGAGTTTTCTCCAGGTTGGATCCATCGATTCAAGAAACGGTATGGACTTTTGATCAGACGACAACGCCGTCATGGGGATGGAGGGATCAATGCCGCCGAAGATATAGGATACCTGGCAGATTGTGTCCCTCGTTACATGAGCGTCGCCCCTGACACAAGTCCAGCTGCGGTCAAAGAAGAAATCATACGCGCTGTTGGTATCGAGCCCACCCTCAACACATGTGCCTTGGTGCGCGATGAAGTGGTCCGTAGAATGACAGGCCCTCCTCAACAGGTGCCTCCACCACCTCTCATGATGACGCATGATCCCCCCTCAATCCCGCCTCCTCAGCCTGACCAGCCCATCTACGCCGATGATGATCCTGAGGTCGTCTTACAGAATGCTTTGCGCCAGCTTCAGCAAGAAGAACAAGCTGCCGAAGAACAGGCAGCGGCTGTACGAGAAGAGCGTGAACGCGCTGAAAGAGCAGGACTTCAGCCCAACAGCATTCTGACCACACCGACCGTGCGTGCTACTTCCGTTCAGCGCTACACGACCACACCAGCGCACGAAATGACTACTAACCTCACCCTCACCCCTATCACTTCGGAACAGCCTATAGCCCAGGATGACCGGCCCGTGCGATGCCCATTCTGTGTTAATCAGCGAATGCTGCGATCCATCAAAGAGGCCGTGGAACATCTTTCTACTCACGTTGTTGTTTGAGAGTTTGTTGGAGTATCTAGAACCGCCAGGCTTGTGAGGGAGTACTGGTTGACGACTTGGTTTTTGGAGTTTCGGTAGACGAATAATGTGGAGTTCGGGTTATAAATGTTTGTCAAAACGCACCTCAGTTATCTTTATAGGAAGGCAATGCCAAATGGATCCTTACAATTTGCTCTTGTTTCGTTGATTTTCCGTGAATGGCTCACAAATATCTATGCTGTATAATCCACATGGTCGTTGCCTCGTTTATAGTAGTCCGCTTGCTTTCAATGCTTTCATAACCTCATCACTATCCTTCTGAGCTTGAGACTTGTGCTTCTTGTGCTCGCCCGGATCAATATAGTTCACCCAGAACTTAAGACCCTCCAATCCCTCCTCGCGACACAGCTCTCCTCGCTCTTCCGCCATCAACAACTCTTCCTCTGCAACACCAAGACTCCAGCCGAAGCGTTCTGCAGCTTCTTGGGCTGTAACTCCTCTGCCAAACTCTTGCCAGTCCCAAGGCACTTCGCGCTCAGGAGGAAACTCGTGAAGATCGCGGAGCCACGCAAGTATGGCCCTGACTGTGGTGCCGTCGGTACGATCACGAGCCTGGACAACCATGACGCCACTGCGGAAGGTGCGCAGACGAACGGGCAGTTTAAGCTTGCTCCAGAGCCTGGCAGCTTTCTCGAAGTCTGCTGGGCTGACGAGCTCGACACCGCCTCGAGCTCTGTTGAACATGGCCCATAGATCGACGAGCGTTATGATACCGCCTGCCTTCTTGAGGACTCCTCTTGAGTCATCAGTGAGAAACTCAGCCAAGTTCCTGGCGAGCTCTGACAAATACAGTGATTCGGAACTCCCGCCACCAACAATATCCTTTGTCGTGACCAGGCCAAGTTGGCTCGCCGATTCCGCCAGAATGGCGTTCTCTTCAGCTGATGCGTTGCCTTGCCCGTTATTTGTTTGCCGTGCGAATCGCTCTGCAAGTGCGATGACCTCCTTAGCAGATGACATAAGAGCCTCCAGATCCTCGAAAGCACTGCCTATTAGCAACTCATTGTTCTTGCGCATGTTCAAGCCAAGTTGCTCCAGGCCAGCGATACCGACCCCCTTCTGTCGTCCGGGAGTACCGGCTGGTGTGTCTTTGGACCCTTCATCTACAGCTCGGCTATTTGGAACAGGAGGTGCATCTTGGAGCAGCCATTTGCGTTGCGTCATAGAGCCCTTGAGTCGTTCATAGAATATCTTCTCACCACCTCTTCGGAAAGAAATTTTGACACTCTCAGGGGCATCGCCTCCATTCTTATTGATCTTGGAGGGGTCCAGTACAGGCCCCGGGGAGTCAGTCCTTATGGTATCAGCTGTGGAGCTTTGCTGGATAGATGATGGGACATTCTGTGAAATCAGAGGCCCACCGCACATCTCGCAGATCATCAAGGAAGGATGATTTGAGAAGGTACAACGAGGACATTGGAAAGATGCAGCCGAGTTTGAACCATTGGTAGCATCAGGTAAGCTTGAAGCTGGCTTTTGGTCCAGATTCTCGGATAGAGGTCTAGTGCCAGAGTGAGATGGTCGTAATGGGAGAGGTGCATTCAGAGCTGGCGAGGCTGCTGAGCGATTGCTCGCGCCGGAGATTGCAGCCTTGAGAACGTGAGATAAGGTAGGCTTGATCCCACAGGCTAAACAGGGCGGCAGAGGCGTATGAGCGTTTGCTGAAGTAGGATCAAAATTTGAGGGGACCGGATTTGAGAAACTGCATATAGTGCAGACCCATGTTGCGCTTGTCACAGCCGGAGGCTCAGGGGGTGCCCTATAAGCCGATTCAGAAATTCCTGGTGATCCAGATAGATTTCTTTGTGAGCTTGAGGCGTTCGACAGAGCACGGCTGTGATAGGATGATCGTTTTGGAGGCTTCGGTATCAAAGTCACCTTGGCCGATGACTTCAGAAAGCCAGCATAGAATTCGTAACGTTCTACATCTTTCAGATCCAGAGCAACGGAGTGGGTACGGGGCTCCTGCTTATCAACATAGCAAACTCGATGAGAGGTTAAGTAAACCTGACCATTTTGTTGATTGGGCAGCTTGAATTTACTAACATCGTGTTAATATCAGAGCCTCAACTTGAGTTGCCAAGAACAACCTACCCCTCATACAAGCCTACGTTGTCCTGAACAAATAGGAGCACCTCATCTGGAAGATACGAGGGCCGTAGTGCTGTAGTAAGGTCTATGTGTTTCAGAAACATCCGTCATGAGGGTGAGACTGAAGCAGAGAGAAGATATTGCTGTGGCTGTTGATGAATGGATGAGCAATGATGCAAATAGACGATGACTTGCAGCAAACAGAAGCAAGCTAGAAGACAAACGCTCGATGAATCTTCCAATCAGAGAACAGTAACCAAGAGTCGGTATAGCAAGGTATTTGTTTCGACTCCAAGTAGATTCAAAGGTTACAGTGAAGTACTTCAGTATCAAGTGAGTCTTCCAAGGCACGCGAGACGGGACTTGATCGGCCACTCCAGTTGACGGCCCCACTGTTGACGATAAGCTTCCACTCGGCGGATCCCAACCTAAACGTACACCACCCATACTCACTGAGATTCAGGCATCACTTCCACCGGAGCACGGTTTTTCCGTGAATAAGCAGGGACCACACCGCCACCGCCAGTCTCCTGCCTCTGACCACGAAAATACCTCCCAAAGAAACCTAACCTAACCTAACCTCCACTCCCACTCCAAACCCAGGAACCCATCATCATCTCGCCTTTCTGCCATTATCCGCCCGGCATCATCTTTTTTCTCCCCAACCCGTTTGTGAAACTAACCACTCGCACTGCTAGCATTCCCACGCCATGATGCCAACCTGGCCAGCGCAGCAAGCGCCGAGCGTAACTCAGCAAACCGTCCCGACATCTTACGCCTACCCAGCGAGTAAGTCTTCTCCCGGACTGCCCGCAGACGACATCTCTTTTTCTCGCCCGACAGCCCTGACACGAAATGCAGATCCAGCCTTCATTCCCGTAACCGTTCGTCAAGGATTCAGTCAGTACGCAGCGCCAGCTGCTCCTTATGCCGGCTACGTGCCTCCACAGCCCCCGGTGCAACATCAAATGTCTCCCGCTTCTCCCGTGAATGGTGTAACCCCGACACCTGAGCAAGCCAAGTCCAAAGTGGACTGGCCCGAATCTGTTCGGAGCTATGTTCAAAGATCTTTCCTTCCCCAAAATGACGAACCCACCGTGTCTCGCGCGGAAATCGAGGCTAAACTTAAGAGCACCATCGGTACCGCAAAGGAAAACGGCACGTTATACACGCTCGATTGGGATAACATGCCCCTCCCACAGGCTATAGTCAAAGCCGAACGTGATGCGGATACCAAGCAAAGTTTTAATGTCCCCATCAACTCCAAGAAGAGGAAATCTACCGATTTTGCCAGTAATGACAACTCCCAGCCTCCGTGGCGTACTAACTCGCGTTCTTCACTTGAGGACCGTATCTCCTATCCTTCCCCTGATAAGCGTGCTTCTATGGACGAGCCCCTGCCGAAATCAAGTAAGTTCCAGAAGGAAGCCAACAAGCGCAAGCGACGGTTCGAAAACGAATACAAGTCGCTCAGATCGCCTAGTCCGCCTCCGCCTTCATCTGGACCTATTATTGGCACATGCGAGGTACTTGAGAAGAAGTATCTTCGTCTTACCGCTCCTCCAGTTCCGTCCAAGGTTCGACCTGAGCACATTCTGCGTCAAACTCTAGAACTCTTGAAGAAGAAGTGGAAGCGGGAAAGCAACTATTCGTACATCTGTGATCAGTTCAAGTCTATGAGGCAAGATCTGACTGTGCAACATATCAAGAACGACTTTACTGTTTCCGTTTATGAAATTCATGCCCGAATTGCCTTGGAGAAAGGGGATATTGGTGAGTATAATCAGTGCCAGACCCAACTACGGTCATTGTATGGCATGGGCCTAAAAGGCAACCCCATTGAATTCAAGGCATATCGCATTCTGTATTTCATCCACACGGCCAACCGAACCGGATTGAACGACACTTTGGCAGATCTAACCACAGCAGAGAAAGGAGAGAAGCCGATTAAGCATGCTTTAGAAGTGCGATCATCATTGGCGTTGGGCAACTATCATAAGTTCTTCCAGCTTTACCTTGACACCCCTAACATGGGTGCATACCTGATGGACATGTTTGTTGTTCGAGAACGGCTTGCTGCGTTGTGCAATATTTGCAAAGCGTAAGTTGTATCCATTCCTCGTTGATTTTCTTGAACACGATTTGCTAACTATTTTACAGATACAAGCCAGATGTGAAACTTCGTTTCATCACTGAGGAACTCGGCTTCGAGTCTGATGCTGATGCAGCCCAGTTCATCATCGATCATCAAGGTCGACATTTGTTGGAAGACCGAACAGACTACATCGCGTTTATGACTGGGAAAGCCGGTCCCCTCTTTGAGGGCGCGCGCAGCACTGCGTTCCAAAAGGTTGATATCAAGGGCCAGATCTAAACCTTTACTGCTTCTTTCTCGGATTCTTTTCTTTTTTCCCTTTTGCGTTGCGACTTCTATCGACGTCTCGCGGCTTGAGACTTGACCGTCGTTATGTTTATCGACGAGACATGATGATGCTTTCACATTTGTGTTGCGTTTTCATTCATGTGGACGACTCGGCGTTTTATACCCCCATTTCTGCTTAAGTGGCAACGAAATGACTTCCATTCTACTACGCACCACCCGGGGCTAAGTCCATGCATAACATAAGTCTCTTATGCTGCTTTGCCTTGGGCTTTGATCAATTAACCGTAGCCTCGATACCAGCTTTCCATTCTATCGACCGAGGCGACACTATTTTTGTACGACAAATAAAAACATTGGATGTTGGGTGGGAACTTAGATGCAGTGGGTTTGATGGGAAAACTCGGACAGGAACTCAACGTCATCTCGTTCCTGGTACTGTTGGGGTCGGTAATTGGCTTGTGGAGCGTTGTTGGTCGGTCTTGTAACCGCCAGCTTTATCATTGCAAAGTGAATGGCGTACTGGCCTCAACAGGAATCAGGACGAGGTTGATGGAACGAGTTTTGGCGTTTCTGGGAGTTGTGGGTTAGTAATTTTTAACAAGTAAGAATTGATCGTATTCTAGTTTTTTTTTTTTTTTTGCACGAATGAACGAAGAAATGAAAAATCAATGTTCTTTATATCATTTTGACGCTGAGCTGTTACGTCGTTTTGAGGGTGAATGGCTTTGAAAGCTAGTGCCTATATAAGACAAATATTTAAAGACCCCTGTTGGGAATGTCCGGCTGGACTCGGGGCGCAGTTGGCAACTCTTTCAGAAGGGGGCCGTCCATGTGTCGGCTACACTGATCGATCGTTCGAATCCCAGGCATAACTACCGCTTCTGGCGTCGTCCCGACGTCAACTACCGTGTTTAAAAATTATAGTGTTTAAATTACTGAGATTCCCTTGTGCTGTCTGTGACAGTTACAGCTGATTGCGGCTATCCCTTCGGGTTGAATGCCGATCCGCCTATTGCAGGGCGTAAAACTCGCAATACAGTGTTAAGGCCTTTGGTAGTGCCTTCCAAGTACTGTGGAGATAAGAATGACTTGTGTTGCCCGCGTATGAGAGGCTGGCTTGGATGTTCCCCTTTTCTTTTTGGATTTTATATCGAACACCCAAGTTGTCTTTTCTTTTATAATAAAAGTTATTGTATGTATTTGTATATTTATTATTCAATTGCTGTCTTTTTTTCTGTCCCGAACCCATCTAGCGGGACAGTAATTGATGTTCAAAATGCCAGTATCTGTCGCGTTTACTTGAGGCCAAGTGAGTGGCATCAGCTACTGCATGGTGGTTGGGATGTCAATAGCGAAAATGACCTGCTGTGCTCCGAGACTCGGGAACAATGACGAACCCCCTGCTGAAAGAGAAACACTGGCCCAAGAGAAAATTTGACATAGAAGCAGGGAGTCCCGAAGTGTCGGGATGGACAGGATTTAGTTATAAGCATGTCTTGGCTCAAGGGAGGGAATAGTGCTTCCTTCTTACGGAGTACATATCCTGTTTTCCAAGACAAATACACTTAGATCCATATCTACATATATTTTGATAAGGGAGAAGGGTTTTCGTCAAATCCGTTGCAGCTGATCTTCACGAGTCATATTTCCCGGGTGATGCACAGAAACCGTCGTTTTTGAAGCGAACGGGAGATTGACACACGAGATTAGACCCAGGGCAACGGTATCCGCAGACGAGACAGCGGCGCCATGATCCATCATGGTTTTTCTGGCGGGGGACGCTTCCGGTGGATTCTCTGCTAAAAAGTGAGCAGGGGAGGGAGGGGTCAGTTGTTGGACTGGATCAAGGAATGAGTTAAAGGAATGAGGATGACTTGAAGACTGGAGATCAACATGTCGCGTAAAGAGCGAGAGCAAGAGAGTTTGGAGACACACGATGGTTGCGTGTATATTCACTTACATACATGCTGATACCTGTATAGTGGAGTGGTTCAGTATGATATCATGAGATCAGCCATCAATAACAAAGGTCTATAGACTGGAACGTAGTATATCACTGACTGGCATAGACAACTAACAAGGAGGGAGCATTATCCAGCCATGTTCCAACATTCTGGAAATGTGTGCGCGCGGCAGTTGTTTGCATAAACACAAGACAATGGGCTACCAACATCCGGCGTCAGGTGGATGTGTCTTTATGCGTAGTGAGGTATGTCACCGGTGGTTCTTTGTCTTGAATAGAGACTGGCATTAATGTTAAGATGTGGTATTATGCCGAATCTTGACCAGGGATATCTGAAAGTCAATGTCAGAAAGATGGACGAGATGCTGCACCAACATGGCATGCATAAACTGGCTCTGCTTCTCTCAAATCATTTCATCGCGATTTCTAGAATCGAGGTCGCAGTCCTAGTCTTTGATGCAATGCGATCGCTGCGTGGCCCCCCTGTTTGTTCCATCCATGGATGGATGGGACTGTGTGATGCATCCCTGCCACGCGACGATTTCCCCGTTTTCTCGAGTCACTTACTGACTGAAGCCTGTAGGTAAATCACTACGGAAATTTCCCTTGTATTAGCGTCACCGACGACGTGATGTGCCAACGCCAGAGCTAACGTCTGTGTCTGTGTCTGTGCTGTCTGTATGTGTATCGGGCATCACGAACGAACAAGAGAGGGGACTTTTCAGTTGGTACGCAAACCCACCCATGATCCCTGACCAATTTATCATTTGTCCGCACACCCATGCCCATGACCGTGGCCCGGGGATGAGCGAGAGAGGAATGAGACCAGACATGGGCATGGTTGAGCGGTTGGTCCGAGTCAACAGGCCAGGCCAAAAGTTGATGCCCTCTTTGCTGATTGTATGTATGTAACTATGAGGGGTAGGTAGGGTAGAGTACGATAGGGATTGGTCGTGTAAGCGTTTGCCTGTGGTTGTTTGCAGGTGGTAAATTGAATGGTAAAAAGTTATTTTGAGCGTGCAGGAGGATGTGTTTGTGTGGCAGATCTCATGCACAATTTTACCCACTGAGAATGCTGTCGTGTGCAGTTTGTGGTGTCTCGTAAGCGCTGGACTGACAGTTGACGCCGTTGACAGGGATTGGGGATGCTTTGATTGTCGAGTTGAGGGCTTCGAGATGAGCTTGGCAGCTTCTAATGGCTTTGGAGGGAGAGAGGTTACAGCTAAAGAAGAATAGCTCAGCTTTTAGGATTCATTTAGTTCAAACATGTCAGCTCCCACAAGTGATGCTCTAACTGTACTGTAGTAGCTGGGCTGGTACATGTACATAGCTGAAGCTCAGTCAAAGCTTGAAGCCTTTAATTGTTTGGGATTGGATATCAGTGTTGACCATTCATCACTGACCACCAACCAGAGCCATTCAGGTACTCGACTGTCATTGAGGTAATTTGCGATTTATCCTTTCGCATTTTGCTCATCTCTCTCTCCCTTCTCTCGACTCCATCTCCATTTTATGACATCTCTTGGTCAGATCCATCCACTAAAACCACTTACAAGACGTCTTCGGGTCGCTGGCAGGCGCCTATAGTTAGTTAGTTGTCAGAGGCGACCCCTCCATCCATCAATCACCCCACCTTGAGAGCCTGAGCCCAAGCCCAAGGGTAATTAATTTCACCCTCCATCTTTTCTTGTCTCGCTGAGGACCGCAGCCTTAGCCACTTTACGCTTTATCGTTGAAACTCAAAGGCGCCCACAGCTCGCGTCAATATCACGTTAAAGGGAACCCAAAGCGAAGGCCCTCTACTTCGTCTTGGATCACTGATTATCGTACGCGTCGAGGGTCACAGATCCACGGACGTTGGATTTCCGAGTATCTGATCAGTCACAGTTATACGGCCCTACCAACCAAAGTCATCAGGCCATCAATAAGAAGCAAAAGAGGCAAAGCAAAGCAAATCAAGCAAGCAAACACCAAAGTTTGTCCCTTATTATTTCCAGCCGCCAACTGCTATTTTTTCTCCCATCTCATCAGCCTCTCTCACAAACCAAAACTTACACAAATCGCTTCCACAACGTTCGATCCACTCGAGGGAACATTGTCCAAGCCCACTCTCAGGCTACTTACTGTACTTCGCCCCCCTGGCGTGTACTCCGTTCCTCACATTCGCGCTCGCTCGTTCGTTCGTTCTCTCGCTCGCTCGCAGCCCAATCTTTGTGTGTGTGCGTGTGCGTGTGTAACCCCAGGCATTCGCTGTAAGGTACCCTACCTTTGTCTCGGAGGGTCCAGGTCCAGCCAGGTTCAGGCCCCTCCCTACGGAGTACCTCTCTCTCCCTCTCTCCCTCTAGCCCCTCCACTTCAACGGCGCTGCTTCTGCAACCGCTACAACTTGACTTGGGGTCTGTCCATCCTGCACCTCGCTGCCTTGCCCGTGCCCGGTCTAGCGGTTAATAGAGGTACTGCCACTGCAAGGTGCTGGTAGCGTACTGTCTGTACCTGGCCTTGCCTTGCCTTACACCAAACATCGGATTGGATCGAAATAAGGTAGCCCAGCCCGCCGCTGTGTCCCGCCGGGTCGTGTCGTCGTCCCTCGTCTCGTACATACATACATACTTTTAGTACCGTACCTTGCTCAGGTCGTCTCGTCTTGCGATCCTTTTCCTAACAACCTCCACCTTCGAGCGATTCACAACTTCCCAACTTGCAACTGCCCAGGAGGCATTCAATTACACAAAAATGAAGGTTCGTCATCGCCCCTTTCCCTCCCGTCGCTCATGCCTCTCCATGCAGCTGCCTGAGGTGCCATCCCATCTCTCTATTGTATTGTATCATGCCGTGCTTTGCCTCCAACTTCTCGTGCCTCACAAGGCGTTATTCCCATCTTCTCAGCTGCCTGAGCCAAACCCCCTCCCCCGCCGCATTCAGCTCGTCTTGCTCATTACTTGCGCCGGCTTCGCTGGCTGCCCGAGAAATACTCGAGTCAAAAGCTAACAGTTATGCGCTTCGTGCAGGCTCTTCGACGTTCGATCAAAGGTGACAAGGACAAAGGATCCGTCGCTCCCAAATCGGCTGTCGCCATTGTTCCTCCAAAGAAGGTTGGTGGCCTCCCACTCCCAAGCCTCAAATCCTATTCAATTATGGTCTGCCACATTCGGTACAGCCATGGTTCCACGACAAACTTGACTTTAATCACTGAGAGCCCAGATGCTGATGCCCAATCTAATTTGCAGGTCATTCGAGCTCTTTACGATTACGAGGCACGATCGAGCCAAGAACTGAGCTTTTCGAGAGGCGACTTTTTCCACGTTATAGGCCGCGAAAACGATCAAGACTGGTACGAAGCATGTAATCCAGCTCTCCCTGACGCCCGGGGTCTCGTCCCTGTCACCTTCTTCCAAGCGCTTGGCCGAACCGAGAGAGATAGCGCACAGTCCGACGGCGGCCAACTCCCCACTCCGACAAAGAACCCCGACCACGATTCTGGTTACAGCGAATCTCCAGCAATGCAAACTGCGCCAGCCGTCATGTCACCCACTACAGCCGTGCCTCAGCAAGGCCACCAGCGTAATTCGAAGTCGGTTGGAAAGTCAGGCGCCATGGTCTACGGAATTGTCATGTACGACTTTGCCGCGGAGAGAGCCGACGAGTTGGAGGCCAAAGCTGGCGAGGCTATTATCGTCATCGCGCAATCGAACCCCGAGTGGTTCGTGGCCAAGCCCATCGGTCGATTGGGTGGCCCAGGGCTCATCCCCGTTTCCTTTGTCGAGATTCGTGATATGGCAAGCGATAAGGCGATTGCAAACCCGGGTGACGCCATAAAGCGTGCCGGTGTTCCAAAGGTGGAAGAATGGAAGAAGATGGCGGCGGAATACAAGAACAGCAGCATCACACTGGGCAAGTTTGAGGGAGGCGGTCCTCAGCAACCTGGGCAGGGTATCGAACAAGGCATGGAACGAATGAGCATTCAGCAACAGCAGCATTCACGACAACCTTCTCAGAATGGAGCGCAGGCCGGATACGCGTCTCAACCTCGAACGTCGCAACAACCTCAGCAAAATCATGTACAGAAACCGGCCTCACAACTCAACGCACCGCTACAAGCACGCATACCACGATACTGCTTTGCAGAGGATAAGTACTGGTTCGTGATCGAAGCATTGCTAGAAGACGGACGACAATGGGAGCTGTCCCGCTATTACGAGGACTTTTACGACTTCCAGATCGCTCTTCTGACCGAATTTCCAGCTGAGGCCGGTAACACAGGGACACAGAAGCGCACACTGCCATACATGCCTGGACCGGTCAACTATGTCACAGATGCAATCACCGAAGGACGCCTCCATAACTTGGACGCGTACGTGAAGAACATGCTGAACCAGCCCCATTACATTTCGAGGTGCAACCTGGTGAGACAGTTCTTTGCACCCCGTGAAGGAGATTACGAGATCGATCCGAACGACAACGAAGAGGAGTACCGCCTATCACAAGCATCACAGCTGTCGTCGGCCGAGTCCCCAGCTGGTGGATCACAGAACAATTCGAACGGCAGTGCATACGGCCTCTCAGCTGCACCAGCGCATCAGATGGGCCCAGGTTCCCCTGACATCCAAAGACAGCCATCTTCTTTGTCACAGCCCTCACAAACATCTCTGGGTAACGGTATGCAACCCCAGGCTCAGCCGGCATCAGCAATGAAGATCAAGATGTATTTCAACGGAGATCTCATTGCCATCCGAGTACCAACGGACATCTCATTCCAAGCACTCTACGAAAAGATTTGTGATCGTCTGAAGGTGCCGGCGGGCCAGGAGGTCCAACTGTTTTACAAGGACGAGCCCACTGGAGATAAGCCAAGTATGCTTAGTGACAACGACTTGGACTATGCTCTGCAGCGGAACGAGAAGCTTCTGCTCTATGTGGAGGCCGTGTGAACAGCCCTGCCCGCTCACTGGAGATGACGACTGCGGCGTTTCAGCTTGATTGTAACGCTGCATGGACGGAATTGGGTTGACAGCCAAAACCGAAAAGTCCACCAAAGACCGTTGGGTGTGCACTAACGTCGTATATTCTCGTTCCCGAACCCTTGCCTGTATAGTACAGTACAATACATACAGACTCTGGCCCTCCACTTCGAAAACGTGCGTTCTTCTCTTCCTTGATGGATCTACAATTTCTCATGAGTCCCCAATGGACGACACGCATACTCTCGACACTTCTTTTTTTCTTTACTTTTTCTTTGTCCCCCCTTTTTCTTGTCCATTTTATTCTACGCGGATTTTATGACGACACGTCGGCGAGGAACTTGATGCTTCTTTGATACCATTTTATTAGCTGGATGACGCATAAGTTTCATGACCAGTGTACCTGACGCTCGTTGTCTCTTCTTTGGGCATTTGTCATGCCCCCCTATTTGCTCCTCTTTTGAAAACTTTCTTCTTCACATCCATGTGTATTCAGGCGGGTATATGGCCTTTTGAATGCTCTTTTGATATCACACGACTGAGCTTAGTGCTTTTCTTCCCTTGACTTTTTATCTTCTTCTGTACTTCCTCACCGAAAGTGACAGGGCCTGGAGGGGTCATTCGGCATATGGGGTTGATAGTTGGTGGACGTGATATGCGTTGCAGTATAGGGGAAGGGGACGGTTGGGGAAGTTCAGTCAGGTGCCTCCAGTAAGCCGCATTAGAAGCCTATAGGTTCCAAATAGCGGACGTCACTGGTGTCGCGAAAGGCTTGCATTGCAAGGATCTCGAGGGTCAGAGGAGGCAAGATGCATATATCTTGGCCTCGGTGGTGGTGGAGGTGGAAAGCAAAGATGAGCGCTCATGAGCGTGATGAATGAAAGCGACAATTGTGTTATTTTGTGTAAGCGATGCATGTGAATATCAATGTCAATGTCAATGTCAATGTCAATGGTGTTTGTCTGTAATTAACAAATTGCATTTCTCTCACTTGCAGGTAAAGGTCGAATACCTTGGATCAGATCAGTTTCTCATTTTATCGAGTTGGCCGTATCAGTCTTGACTCTTCCCTTCGCTACCTAGTATCCTGTCTATCGTGTTCTAGAAGTCTATTATGAGTGATGGATCGTCATCGTATGCTCTTTTGTATTCCACCATCCGTAGAAAAACCATGAGATGTAACATTAACTCCCGATGCCGTGGATCTTAACAAGACCAAACAAGTAAATGCAACCATAGTTACGTAGCCTCGTAACTGTAAACGCCTGAAATCAAAAGAACCTGAAAAGAAAACCATCTCTTGCGGTATGAGATGATGTGTTGGATATGACTTCGTCTACTCCAGCTTGGTCATGAGGTTCTTGCGAACTTTCATGTTGACTACACCGCCGACTCCAAAAGCAGGGACAATTCGACATATTCTCGCGACAGAGCTGATGAACCAGTTGCGCCGCACAAGATCTAATCGATCACGCATCGTCACGACAGCTCCTCCAGGTCCAGTCGCTTGACGATTGTATAAGTCTAGACCGAACAAATGCATAGGCGTAGAAATGAACTGCACCATAGCAGGGGCCATGAACTGCGCTGCATAGAGTCCAGAGACTCTCTTCTTCATCTCCTCGGAAAACCGCTTATCCAGATACGGTCCCAGCAAAGGCGGCACATTGAACGAGGCAAAGATGGTCAAGCAATCGCGCAGCGCAAAGAGAGTGTATGAAGCGAGGGGGACAGGTCTAGGGACAACACCAGGCGGGCCAAACATGCGCACAAAGACCTGGTCCTTGTAGATACAGACTCCGATGTTTGTGGCGCTGGACGCAGCGAACTTTGTGGTTCCGGCTGTGACGCTCGAGGCGGGCTTGTTGTTGACTGTCGAGAACGAAGTGTCGACGGCGTTGGCGGTGAGATATGTCCCGCCGTAGAGGCAGAAGATGAGCGCTGTAGGCTTGGAGAAGAGGATTGTGTGAGGGCGGGTGAAGAGGGTTCGGAGGGAGGATTTGACAGAGTTTGCGAGGGTGTTTGCGCCGGAAGCGTTTTCCATGATGGAGCTGTCATGATGTCAGTTTTTTTGGAGTTTGGAGTTTGGCGATGTCGGCGTGTCTCAGAAATATGGCATAGCATATGAATGGTGGTGATTGTGTAGGTAATTAAATTACTGACCGGTCGATAATGGCAATGATGGGCGCTACCATTGAAGCAGCGCTCGCAGCAGAAAGAAAGTCAGTGCCGAGTCGTGATATCAAGTTCTTGGTATTCCATGTGTTTTTGGTGGTGATCTGCTCGGGCGTAGTTGTCCCGGCGAGAACCAGCGCCGGCGCATCAGAGTCTTTCATGATGATCCAAGATCTGATCTCTTCTTCTCTCTACTCTCGTAGCGATATCAGACTCGTCTGGTACGAAGAATGAGATGACGGAAACGAGGTATGACGAAAAGAAAACAGGTTCCGGTTCCTGGGGGAATAAAAGGAAACTAGAATAGAAAAAAAAACCACTAGATAAGTCAATGGGAGGTTGTAGACTAACTAGACCCCGAAGCAACCCTTTCGGTGGATAAACGTTGAAACTGCAAGAACTAGCGGTAGCAGTAGCTGCTAATTCCCATGCGCTGGTTGGGCACCGTCTGAGCTTTTGCTTCAACTTTGGGGGTTTTATTTAGCTTTAGGTACTAAACTTAGCTGAACCGAAGCTCTTCTGACTGACTTGAGTCCGGGGGTGCGCCGATCTCGGCGGGGACTTCGGAGCCGGTGCCGAGTTTATAAGGGACTTGAGATAGATATCAGCGGCTTGTCGCGGATACGAACGATTGATACCGGAAAACAGATAGATATTGTATGAGTATAAGGAATTTGAGATTGGCAAAAGTACATAGTTCATGAGATGTGTTCAAATTGCATGGTTGATTACTGTTTGCGCATTGTGTAACTAACAGCCAACAAAACTCACGCTCAAGCCCACGTTCAACACCTAGATCAATGCTCTTCCATCACGCATTAAACACCAAAAGTTATCTATAACGATATGCCTCCATAACCAAGGCGTTGATAACTTTACCGCCATATGATCAAAGCAGTCTCAGACTAACTAGACCATTCATCCCCCGCAATGCCCTCCATTCTCCTTGACTTACACGCAGGCCATCTTCCCCACGCCGACGTTTGCCGCTCACCGGGAGCTCTGTCTAGGCGTTCCTCGCCCAGTCTCATCGTACGTATGTCGGGTTTATCTTTGACAAAATCAAAGACTCTGTAGGTCACCCCGGTGAACTGATTCAGCCCATATATAAGCACCGCACTACAGGGTGATCACCGCTTGCCAGCTTCTCCAACGGCATAGGCCGGCTTTAACTTATACCCAAATTCTATAGCACCACAAACATACTGTTCAAGCAGTAGGGAAACCATGCATACCTTTCCCGATATTTGCATAGTTTCATCCATTGCCAATCGTAAAAACATTCTATTCATAGGGAATGTAAGAGTTCTCGATCTAATGCTACTCATAACTCCTGATAATCTCATAAACAATGCAACCTTGACGAATCCAATACAAGCTTCTTCGAGGGCTTCGAGCTGTGGGGTCGTTGCCGACTCGTATCCTATCCCATTCTTAAACGGCCTGATCCACAGGCACAGCACATGTCCAGAGCCGCTTCTCTCCGTCTCCCCACTACTACTCCCAACATCATGCCAATTCTTCTGGAACGCTTCGCTGCCGGCCCCTCTGCTGGAATACCCACTCTTGACCTCGACCGATGAGACCCGATCAGAGAAGAACCCGAACCCAGATATTCCAATGTTCAAAAGCTGTCAAGGACCGGCCCGATCACCAAAAGCCCGTAGCTAGGCGGGAGTGGTACCTGTACTTGAGCTTCCACTGCCGTTTCCACCTGCTTGCTTCTCCTGCATAATCGTTATAACTGCAGTGAGTTGGTCGATCTTCCGGTTCAGCTCGGTGAGCTGCACCTCCATGGCCGTTGGCGCATCCACATCATCCTCACGCACCTCGATGCTCCTACCGTTGGCTCGTCCCCTAGGAGAAAGCGTCTGGCCACCGACATTGGACTCGGATCGCTTCTGAGCAATTGCGTGCCTACCGTTGCGTCGAGAAGAGCGCGATGGACCCTTGAATCCAGCAAATTCATCTTCCAAGGCTCCTGGCTTTCGGTACATCTCGTACAGCTTGATGATGCCAACAATGGGCCAATGAGTCGCCTTGAGGAGCATGATACGCCCAGCACGGAACTTCTCATCGGCCGTAAAGAATAGACGCCAAGGTCGGAAGAGTACCAGGGCCAGGAGATTGAAAGGAGGATAGAAATGGGTGAGCCGGTTACTAGTCGACGCTTCCAAGACGTAGACGCTGTACACATACAGGTACTCCTCCTTAGCGTGGGTGATAACCCGCGAGAAGCTGTTGGACAGCATACCTGTCAGGGAGCCCATCAACAGGAAGCTAGAAAGTGTAATGAAGATGATCATCAGAGGAGGTCCAAAGAAGGGATCGATTTGGTTCATTATCTCGAATCCGATGGGCGCCGAGCCGTAAAAGATCTTTGTCAAGATCCAGGCCATGGACTTGAATGCAAAGACGTTACGACCCACGAGCGAAAATGTGGTCAGGAAACCACAATACACGACAACAACAAGTACCATGTATTTGAAGAAGTCCTTGCCCATTTCCTTCAAGCATGGAATAAGCGTACCCCAGGCAGGGCTGAGACTGAGAATCGAGAAGATACGGGGAATCATGAAGAGTGCCTCAAGTGCCAGGATATCAAATGCAAGGTCGTTCAGCTCGGGTTTGTCCTGAACAATGCCAATAATACCTGATTGTGTCAGCACATCACCTTGTCTAAAGGACCATAGTTCTTACGCAGAATTGCAAAGGTAAACCCGATGGCGATCATGATCATGTCGAATAGGTTCCATATGTCGGTAGCATAAAAGATAGAGCCCGCATCAAGCCACTCACTAAGCTCATCGTAGAAGAAAGCCGCGATCCACAAGAAAAGTATCACTTCAGGGATTGTAATACGGGACTCGTCTCGCACAATGAGCACAGCGTAGTACAGGGCGAGGAAAATGCAGAAGAACAGCACCTCCCAGCTCTTGAGATACTTGGGGACGCGCAGGCGAGAAAAGGGGTCTGCAGTCCTAGGGTTATAGAACCGGACCTTCTTTGTAGAGTGCACAGACAAGCTATCCCAAAAGACTATGTCACCACTCCAAATAGCAGTGATGATCTTTTGGACAATGTGCTGGCTGAGGAAGCGTTTGGCATCGGCAATGGCAGCAATCTCGAGAGCATTCAGATTCTTAAATGATGAAGTGGGATCACCCTCGTTCTCACTGTCATCATCATCCGAGGTCATAGTCAAGCGGGAGAGAGAACTCAGTAGTTGGTTACGCTTGAAGCTGCTACCGGCAGGGCCTGGTCCACGTCGGCGATTGTCAATGGAGCGGAGATGAGAAAGCAGAGGGGCGGTTTCGCCGGCTTCCTCGTCGCCCGTGTGACCATTACCAGCCGCTTGAGCCTGAGCTTGAGCTTCATCGTCATCGTTCACATCGGGGATCTCGTAAAGGCAGTAATTGACTGCCTCGCGTTCAGAAAGCCTAGTCAGGAATCGCCAAGCAACGATTTCACATGCATCTGCCCGAGATTCTCCCAGAGAGCGGTGTTCTGACGAAGATGCATAATGCCATTTGAGAGCTCTGTATGGATTGGATCAGTCAGCAAAGGTCCATCAGCAATGAGGATTGTGTTCCGAATCATCGTTGCACCGCATATGCTGTCAGATTGAGGATGGGCTGAGCAGATATGTGATTGGCTCCCCTGACAGCATGTCATCTGCAGGCACAGACATATGCCACAAAAGGGTGACAATTCAGTGACTGAGAGTGATGTTGATAGAGAACATATCACCGTAAATTATTTTTCGGTTTAGTACGTACAGAAGAGCATTGACGATTGCCGGGTTGGTGCAGGTTGCAGCGAGGTGATCCACCAAGATGCGTAGCGGAGCCCCCGCAGCTGTGGTCCTCAGCTGTTCAAACGTGCTCGGCAGTTCAACGACATCGACAAAGTATCTATAGAGCGTCAGTGAGCGTCAATTGATACAAACACACGGTCACTTGCAGCGAGAGCTTCTTGACGACATCTCTGAAGTTATCGTGAGCGCCAATGCTGGGAAGATCGCGCTCGTATTCGTCTGGATGGCGCATGGAGATAGGACTACCCTCGCGAGGGGCAGGAAGCTTCTTGGATTTGACCTTGATAGGCATGACGAGGATCTAATTCAGATAAAATATGATCGATCAATGGAGCACATCCCCCGTACGAGTCCTAGGTTTGTTGGAGTTGTCAGGAGCTGTCCCTCGGCCACGAGGTGGTTTTGAAGACGAGCGGCAAGGTTATTCCGTCTCCTTCCTCTGTTTTGACTTTATCACGATGGTACGTGAGGGGAGGAGATGCGGAGATGGATTGGATTGAGAAGGAGGGATGGATCTGGGGAAAGAAGCGCTCAAGCGGTCAACCAATTGCGGGCCTGTGCATCCTTAAAAGACGAGTCAAGATGCGCTATAGATCGGCTCCCGACCAGCAACAAATGGATGCCAATGGAACTGATGGTATCACGAGAATGAGTGGAAGGCGGGAGAAGGTGACTTTTTGGGGGCGTTTCAGGAGAAGGTCACCGCTGCCCAAATTAAACCGTCATTGCATCACGGCATCCAGACCAAAAGCTGTATGGTCTTTTTTGATCAACTACTGTCCTCCGAGCTTAGCGCGGACTGATGATCCTCTAACTACTTCGAATAGGCATCTTTCCTGGTGACAGCTGCAAAAAAGAGCTCCAACCAGAGGCTGGTGACAGTCTCAAGGGTTCATGGCAGAGTGGAGAAGAAGGGTCCCTGGACGGAGCTTGGCACCACTAAGAGATGCTTGTCAGTCTTTAGCAACTGGGGATTGGACGATCTAGACTCGAGAAATCAAGATTTCGTGGTTCAAGGTCAGGTTTGATGATACGAGGGATCTGGAAAATCCGAATGGCCTCATATAATAATAAGTATGGGAATTATTAACTGCAAGTACAGCAATTGGTGTCTGATATGTACTGGGAAGCGATTTGATGATATTGAAACTTGACTTTTGTAGACACTACATAACGTTGGTCCTGTAGAATCTGTTGAAGATCGTATATAAAATGATCTGTCGGGACTCACCATTGTGTAGGCTTGAGATAGGTTATCTTCGTAAGACCCACCGCAAGCTTCAAGGCCTTATGATAACTTGAGGATACCTACCTGTATTTTGATGAGTTTGGTGTTTCACCAAA